AAAAACAAAAAACCTTAGAGTTGATTGTTTATTTTGTAGGTTACAACCAAGGAATCAAACACTGGAACTCCGGGTTCAATATTTGGAAAGCTAAATTGATTATCCCCAACAACACAAACATGTTTCATCAAATCCAATATTTGAAAAAGAAATACTTAATGTTGATCGTTTATTATGTAAGTGAAAACCAAGGAATCAAACACTGAAAATGTTTTTCAGCAAGTACAATACTGAGGAGGAAAAACACAAAATACACTTCCACCTTTTCTTATTCAACAAGGTGGTTGAATTTAAGGGGTTGGAAAGTGCTAAGCTAAGCAATCAAAGCCTAAACGTGTGACTGTTTGAGTTTTACATATAATTGAATTGATGCTCATAGTGAATGCTAGAAAACAATTCCACAAGTACGTTTAGAAACAAAGCCCCAATCTGGTTTAGATAAAAATAAGATTTTTAGTAGATTTAGATTTTGATAAAAGTTGATGGAAAGTGTAGATGAAAAATTGTGGATACCATAAAATGTGTTGTTAAAATTAAGCGTTGACTTTGAATTGGATTTTAGTACACTATTTTAGTGTAACCAAAACGGGCAAAATAAGCTATTCAAAATATAAATCAACATGGTGTTCCAAAGCTAAGGAGACTGAACTGACGATACCATATGAAGTTTGTAGTGGCAAATCTAAACCAACTGAAATTAAGATTGCACGAACTTGCCTAGAAGATTCCATTCAGAAACAAGATTTTTATGGACCTAAAATCCTAACCGACTTGCATAAGGAAATAAGTGCAAGTTGATACGTTCGAATTTGACGAGAGAAGAAAAGGGTTTAACAGAGAAAAGATAGAGAAGACGAGAATAAATGGACTGTTAATTGCTAAATTCAACAGAGAAGAAAAAGAAGAAAAATAAGAGGCTTTTTGGGTTTTTAACTCTCTCCTCTTATCAACAATGCTACTGACTATTTATAATAGTCACACACAGCTGGAAAGAATAAACTATTCTAATAATTAGGAAACAATCAACAACCCACTAAGCTAAACTTCATGGCGACATTAAAGGAACAACAAACTGACTCAACCTAGACTAATCCATCCACGTTTTCCACTTCCAGCTTCCTCCATGTCTCCACTTTAATCTGATGCAGAAACAAGATTGCTTGTATGGTGGCACGTATCACAAGTGTGCAACCAACCAGTAAAAATTGGGGAGAACAATTTTGAAATACAAAGTAGGTCATGAGGCAAAACCAAGAATCTATAAACATCAATAAAATCTACGGAAATTGTACAATTGGTCTCAAATACATGGCTCTTGTAGCGCTTGATCCCAATTTCTTTTTGATACAAGTCCCAAAACTTTTAATTATGTAACGTCACTCGTCCATGAGGTTTCCGTCTATTTGATCCTTGTACATCATTTCACCCCTTGCCCCCTTTCGGATACTAATGTTATCCAAGCACTAAGCGATCATAAAATCCTCAATTCTATTCACAAACAACAGACATTACCCACATCTAACGGGGGGAACATAAAGAAAAGACAGCAGGTTATTAGAAACTCGAGGAGATAATGCACTAACCTGAAATTGGTTATAAAAAACAACCCAAATTTCAATTTATACCAATAAACGTGAAGAAAAATTAAGCTAAGTGAACAATTTAGAGAGAGTATTATAATTTATAGGACCAAAGAAACTTGACTAACTATATTTTACCAATTTTACTTAAATTTTCACCTAAAAAACTTGTCAGGAACAAAAAATGTATATGTACACACAAGAATTTCTATACACTCTCATAAGCAACAATATATATACCTGAAGATCGTGTTGTTTGATGTAAGCCCAAATCTCTTTAAGAGCTTGAGTGCGGGGAATTTCAGTGACGCCACCAAGGAACGCCTGCATTTCCGGCGAGACACGGCGCGGCTTTGTAATGCCTCTCGGCTCGCGCTTCTTGGTCTCGGTAGAAGGCTTCGACGTGGCAGCTAAAGTCACCTTGCGAACAGTGCGCAGGTTAGACGGAGCGAGCTTAACAGTAGCAGAAGAAAACTTCACCAACGACGCCTTATCCCCTACTAATAAGCTCGATGATACACCCAAAGAAATTGCCATTGGAACTGAGCTCGGATTTGTGGAAATGGGATCTTGAACGCGAGTTTGTGTGAGAAGATAAGAGTGTAAGGGTTTTTGTGTTTGTGTGTGTCTGTGTGAGAGAGACTTCGTGAGAGGGAGAGTGGGAGACTGAAACCCGCCTTGCTCGTGTTCCAATTTTCCACGAGAAATTTCATTAATTGCTAAATTCTACATTCACTCCCCAACCTTTCACCCATGTTACGATTTTGCTCTCTTCTTTTTTTTTTTTTTGGTCAGAATTTCAACCTCAATTTTCATTAATTCACGGATTTCGTCCTGACTGGCTGATTCCGTCAGTTTCTGCCGTTAACTGACACAATTATGGGACACATTATTTCATTGAAGAGCAAACATGTAAAAATGTGCATTATTCCCTCCATTCAGAACACGTGTATTCACATGTTTGCAGATGCGGAAACGTTTGGAGCTCAAGATCGAATGTGAACGGAAACCAACTCCAACATAAAATTTTCATCTTTGAAAGGAGAAAAATGCTTATCATTGCTTCATGGATATGACCCACTAATGTGCGATGATCTAAACAAATTATACCTCAATTATTGAGTTTGTGCGTTTTGTTGCGAGATTGCGCTTGTAGGTAGCGGTGGCAACGAGCCGAGCCGAGCCCGGGC